ACTCTGATGCTGATCTTCCAGGCTTGTTTTTATTCACGGTATCCAGTTTTTCGATCCAGTATCGTTCTCTCCTCTTAAGCTCATCTTCATCAAACATTGACAGAGAGTCGATCTGGACAATTTCTACATGTCCGAGATCAAGCAGAATGAATGAGGTCATAAAACCCCGTTCACCTTTTTGGTAGGCTTTGTAAGCTGATCGGTGACAGTACATCCGATTTTTCAGTGGTAGACAAGTGGACCCCACATATACCTGATCGGTGTGTTGGCTCACAAGTTTGTAAATCTTACAAGGAGAAGTCATCTTTGCTGATAGAAAATCTTTGAAATTCTCATCGGTATACTTCTACGTAACAGGATTCAAATAACCGTTTATGATGACAATTCGGTGTACTTGAAGTAGAAAAAAAGAAGAGAGTTGGTCTCCTTTCTCTTCTCTTTTCTTTCTCTCTTCTATTTTTCTCCCAAATATTCATCAAGAATTTCCTGAACCATCTCTAACAGACGATTGTTGGAGTAGGAACTCGAGAGTACTACATACTTTTTTTCACAAATTCTCAGGAAAATGCTTGGGATGATATTCATTTCTTCATCAAGAGCATTTTCATACACATCATCAAAGAAATCACTGAACAGTGAAGGACTATCTACCATTATTCTATCATTCATCTCATCCCAAGCCGCGGGATCATCCCTTGGATCACCATACCAAACCGCGGCATCCTCCCTTGGATCACCACAATCAGGAGTATCAGGTTCAGAGTGGAAGTCATCATAGGAGAAATAGTCACTTGGAAAAGACGCAGCCATCGTTGTAGGTAATTGATTTCACAAATTCTATCAAACTTGTTGGATCTTACCATAAAACGTGTACAGTTTAGATAAAAATAATTGGTGATATGTGTGGAAAGAAAAAAAGATAGATAGACAAACATGAAAATGTACCACATAATCTGCCGTGGGACAGTTGGGTTTGGATACTCTCTCTCCAACATTCCACAGTTCCGTGACAATATTCTGGGGGTGAGTTTGGAACTCACGAAAGATGATCAGGAGCATGACACGATCAACATCCACATATATACCAATAATCCACAGATTTTTATGTCATTGACAAAAGCAGAGCTTGACAAGATGGATAATGGAAATTTCAGACTTGTTTATGATGAAAAGATTGATGAGAGCATGGAAGATCACTGTGAAAATATGGGATTGTTGGTACATCTTTGTATCCATGAGAAATAAAAAAGTAGATAGATAGATAAAGATGAATGTTCATTGCCTATCGTGTAAGAAAAAGCAACAGATGAGGGGAATACAAGGAGAAGTCACATCAACTGGTCAACCATATGTCAAGGGTAAATGCTCAGTATGTGGTCGATCATGTTCACAATTTATCAAGAAATCGGAAATCAGAGAAGGTGGATTCCTGTCCGGTTTGTTCAAGATGATAGGTTTAGGAGTAAAAAAAAGATAGATACGAAATGGACGGACGATCTGGCTGATGAGTTACACAAGCCCAAGCGTGTGAATTTCACAAGGAGACAAGTGACTGTGAGTGAGATTGATGAAATCTGGTCTGCCGATCTCGTGGACATGACAGCTTTTCGTAAATACAATGATGAAATCAAATTTCTGCTTACTGTCATTGATCTGTTCAGCCGATATGCTTGGGTTGTCCCGCTCGAATCCAAGAAAGGTGTTGCCATCCAATCAGCATTTCGATCCATCGTGAAAACTAGCAGCAGGAAACCACGTAAGCTGTGGGTTGATCAGGGTACCGAGTTCTATAATCGAACGTTCAAACACTGGCTTGATGAGAATCAGATCACGATGTACAGCACTCACAACGAAGGAAAGGCTGTTGTAGTTGAGCGTTTCAACCGAACTCTGAAAACCAGGATGTGGAAATACTTCAGTACTAACTCCACCAGCAGGTACATCGATGTCCTTCCACATTTGGTAGAGAAGTACAACACGACAAAACACAGAGGTGTTCGGATGACACCAACTGAGGCATCACGGGAGAAGAATGCCGATCGAATCCGTGACTCACTGAGTGAGAAATCTCCACTATCCAGGTCCACTAAATTCCAGATAGATGACCACGTCCGACTGGTGAAGCAGAAACGACATTTCGAGAAAGGATACACTCCGAACTGGACCGAGGAGGTATTCCGGATCACCGATATTCTCCCGACCAGACCCACTACGTACTCTGTCAAGGACCTCGATGGTGAATCCGTTGACGGGTCGTTCTATGAACAAGAGCTCCAGAAAACTACTCAAGAAATCTACCGGATCGAGAAAGTGCTCCGAAAGGACAACAAGAAGAAACAAGCCCTTGTGAGGTGGAAAGGCTACTCGGCAAGATTCGACAGCTGGGTCCCGTTTGATCAACTCAGCTGGTTGTGAAAAAGCTCTGACTCGGAAACTGAAAAATATGTGAGCTCTGAAAAAGCTCCGACTCCGAAACTGAAAAATTATTATGTGAGGTCTGAAAAAGTCCCGACTCGGAAACTGAAAAATATGTGAGCTCTGAAAAAGCTCCGACTCGGAAACTGAAAAATTATTATGTGAGCTCTGAAAAAGTCCCGACTCGGAAACTGAAAAATATGTGAGCTCTGAAAAAGCTCCGACTCCGAAACTGAAAAATTATTATGTGAGCTCTGAAAAAGTCCCGACTCGGAAACTGAAAAATATGTGAGCTCTGAAAAAGTCCCGACTCGGAAACTGAAAAATATGTGAGCTCTGAAAAAGCTCAGACTCGGAAACTGAAAAACTCCGAGAAAGGTCAAATCTCACAGTGACGTCAGCTGATGATGACTGTGTCTCCAATCACAAGATCGTGGGTTCGAATCTAGGTTTGGACACCCCGTTCTTTTTTTCTTTCTTTCTAGGATGTAGATTAATGTACATTAGAGGGTAGTGATTATACAGTAATGCTATCACTGATCGAAAAAATCCTTGTGTAGTGTAAAGATGGAATTTGACCTGAGCAAACTCACTATCACCTATGATGGGAAGAAACTCAAGACTGAGAAACAACTCCAGTGGATTCACAAAAAATTAGAGCAAAGAAAGAATCGGGAACTTCTCAAGAAACGGATTCGGAAGAATCGGGAGAATCGGAAGAGGAAACCGATTGTCACACCACCGTTCACAGTCTCAAAGTCAGTACCCAAAGGGATTCTGAAATCGTTCATCTATGAACCGAAAGAGAATCATCCAGATCTGTATATATTCTTTGATAGTATCAACATCCCACTGAGAACATTGATACAGAAAGAACTGGAAAATCTCAAGGGTGTGAAAGTCAGTCTGACATTACAAGTAGAATTGGAGAAAGGAGATGACATAACAACCACAGACACACCATACTTCAGGAGTGGACCAATGACAGTCACAACATCTCATGAGATTGATAACGGTATTCAAACGGCACACACACAAATTCATACAAATATCGATAAGTGGATACAGAATGGATCAAACTGGCACATCAATCACATCACCAGATTTTATGTTGATGTAGCAGCATATCAGCCAATGAGAGGTAAATCCTACATTGATTTACCGAACGAGCTCAAGAAAAAGAAGGCAATCATCAATGTCAAGAATAAGGATGATAAATGTCTGATGTGGGCACTGCTCTCAGCTCTGTATCCAGCAAAGAAAAATAGTGACAGGGTAACTCAGTATACAGACTATAGCAACAAACTTGATCTGTTCGGAATCGATTTTCCAACACCACTGAGTCAGATTTCCAAAGTCGAGAAGCAAAACAACCTAGCTATCAATGTCTTTGGGTATGAGGATAACGTGATCTATCCACTACTGCTGACAAAGAAAAGAGGTGAGGAAGTGATCAATCTTCTACTATACCAAAAAGAAGATCAGAATCACTACTGTTGGATCAAAGATTTCAGCAGATTGTGCTACGATCAGTCAAAGCATAAAGCCAGGAAATTCTTCTGTACAAGATGTCTCCAACCACACAACACAGAGAAATCCCTGAGCAATCATCAGGAGTATTGTGATAATGTCACTGGATTATCAGCACACATGGTACTACCAGAACCAGACGAAGATGGAAATCCACCAACACTGAAGTTCATTAATCATCACAAAATGCTACAATGTTCCTATGTCATCTATGCTGACACTGAGGCACTGATCAAGAAAATTGAGGGAGTGAAAAGCCAACAAACCAGCCGGGATTCACAACATGTTCCTTGTGGTTTTGGTTATGTCGTGGTACGTTCTGACGGAGTGATGACAAGTCAGTGTTTCTACCGGGGTGCTGATGCCATGGATGTATTCTTTGATAAACTCAAAGATGAGGAGAAGAAAATCCAATCAGCACTCAATAATCCAGCACCGATGGATCTCACTAAGGAACAAGAAGAATTGTTCAGAGAGACAGAAGACTGTTGGATTTGTAAAAAGAAACTTGGTGAGGACAGAGTCCGTGATCACGACCACATCACTGGTGATTTCCGCGGTGCCGCACACAATGACTGTAACATCAAACTCAGAATTTATCCATACAAGCAGCACATCCCTGTGGTTTTTCACAACCTGAAAGGCTATGACAGTCATCATCTCATCGGAGCAATCGGAAAGACAGATGTTGAGACCGTCACATACACGGATAAGGACGGTGTGTGTAAGAGTAAAACTGTGGGTGAGATATCAGTCATTCCCAACAACATGGAGAAATTCATCTCATTCACATGGAGACAGTTCCGGTTCATCGACAGCTGCGAGTTTCTCAATGCGTCACTCGATAGACTTGTGAAAACGACACCAGATGAGTCATTCACTCACACCAAGACGTTGCCAAACCATCAGCTGTTGATGAGGAAAGGAGTATACCCCTATGAGTACATGAACAGCTTCTCCAGGTTCGATGAGACTCAGCTACCAGCACAGAGTAAGTTCTATTCTTCACTGTCTGATGAGGGGTGAGTGACGATGACTACAAACATGCTGAGACAATGTGGATGAAATTCGACTGTCAGACTCTTGGTGATTATCACGACTTGTATCTCAAGACCGACGTGTTTCTCTTGGCTGACATCTTTGAGAATTTCAGAGTAGAAGCTGTCAGAACGTATCAGCTGGATCCAGCAAATTACTACACTCTGCCTGGATTTGCCTGGGATGCTCTGTTGATGTACTCAGGTGTGTCCTTGGAATTACTAACAGACTATGATCAGCACTTGTTTGTAGAATCAGGAATGAGAGGCGGTGTGTCGATGGTCTCACAACGATATGCTGCTGCTAATAATCACTATCAGGAGAAATTTGATGCTGATCAGCCATCGTCATTTATCCAGTATCTCGATGCCAACAATCTCTATGGTTGGGCAATGTCACAACATCTCCCAGTGTCTGATTTTCGGTGGGAGAAACCATCAGAGAAACTCCTGAACAAGATACTGAATACTCAAGATGATTCCTCACCGGGGTATATCGTCGAGTGTGATCTGGAATATCCACACGAACTTCATGAGAAGCACAACGATTATCCAGTTGCTCCGGAACGTCTTTCCGTCAATGAGGACATGCTATCTCCATACCAGCAGGAGCTTGTTGATAAGCTCAATTCTTCCGGAGTAGATGCTCTCAAACTTGTACCAAACTTGAGGGACAAGACAAAGTACGTTCTCCATTACCGAAACTTGAAACTCTACACTCAGCTCGGACTACGTTGTGTCAAAATTCATCGTGCTCTGAAATTTACTCAGACACCGTGGATGAGAAACTACATCGAGAAGAATACAGACCTCCGGAAGAAGGCAAAGGATGATTTCTCTAAGGACTTCTATAAACTGATGAACAATGCGGTGTTTGGGAAAACTATGGAGAACGTTCGGAGGAGAGTCAACATAAAATTGTTGAGAAGTCGTGAGGAGAAAAAAATCAAACAGCTTGTTGCCAAACCAACGTACAACCGCCATGTGATCTTCAACGATGACCTGGTCGGGGTACAAAGTAACAGGACAAAGGTCGTCCTCAACAAGCCCATATATGTTGGGATGTCGATTTTGGATCTCTCAAAGACACTCATGTATGACTTTTACTACAATCACCTGAAAGTGATGTATGGCTCTGATGTGATACTCTTGTACACCGATACAGACAGCTTGGTTCTTCATTTCTTTACTGATGATCTGTTTGATGACATGAGTGAGTTTCTTGAGAAGTATGATACAAGCAATTATGATCAATCACATCCGTTATATTCCGAGAAAAACAAGAAAGTTGTTGGTCTGTTCAAAGATGAACTCGGTAGGAAACTGATCACTGAGTTGGTAGGACTTCGTTCCAAGATGTACAGTTACTCTGGTGAGGAAAGTGGAAAAAGAGCAAAGGGGGTGAAAAAAGCAGTGCTCAAGAAAACTATCACACATGATGATTTCCGAAATTGTCTCTTGGATCAATCCGTGTTCCATCGAGAAATGACAACACTCCGGAGTCATAGTCACGTTATTTTCGGAGAAACGGTTAATAAGATAGCCTTATCACCATTGGACACAAAACGATACATCATAGAAGATGGATGTAGCACGTTAGCGTTCGGACACCATGAAATACCAAGATATCTGGCTGAGGAGGGGTTTGATAGTAGCATTTCATTCATGAGTTATGCTCCGGATATGATGAAGCAGTTCGTCCAGTGATCATGAGAAAGAAAAAAAGGGAAAAAAGGAAAAAGAAAGAAGGACATTTTTTTACTTTTTCTTACACATTCGATTTTCTATAATCCTCCCATATAGCATCAAGTCTTTGTTGTGACGTTTTACACTTTGGAATGAATGGTTTGATCTTGATCACATCATCTTCATCATCAATGAGTTTCGAAAGTAAGTTAGGAATGGATTTTTTCTTTGACTTTTTGACTTTTTTTCTCTTTATTTGCTACTACCTTGATCCGCTGAATTTCATCAACAAGATTGTTGAATGGGGTTTTGCTAAGATATTTTGGTAAACCAACCTTGTTCAGGGTTATCTCCAACCTTGTTTCGATTCCTGTTCTGGTTTTGGATTTGTCTATTTCTTCGAAGAAAGATGTGGTATCATACAGATCATTTTTCTTCATCTCATACACCTCAAGATCCTCTGGAGTTACTTCATTTTCCAAAATCATCAATTCTATATCTGTAGGAAACCATTCCTGGTTTCTATAGTCAATGTAGTCCGCTATCATCTTATCTTTCCTGGTAGAGTGTTCATCATCTATCCATGTATCCATCACTTCTTCTTCTTCTTTGTTTGTGGAGTAGTCGTCATCAAACCAGTCATCCATGATTTCACTTCTAAAAAAATATTTTTTGCTTTTTGTTTTTGTGGATTGTTTGACTATTTTTACAAATCGTTTGCTGAGAATTTCACTTCTTCTTTCTGGAAATGCTTTATAGCAACAACAACAAGTTTGAGACTGAGAGTGTCATCGGTCTTGTCTTTGTAAACCCACTTCAGGTGAACGATACCATTGACGGTGTCACCTTGCTTGATCTTGTTGGTTTTTGATGGTTTGTTGTCCTCATCAAAGTTTGTACAATCAGGAGAAATCTGGAGAAACAGTATTGGGTGGTCACACTTTGCTGTGTTAATTCTGCTTCTAACCACATTTCCTTCGGATTCTATCTGCTTCTCGATCCGACGGATGGATTTACAAATGTCACTGTCAGTAGAAAATTTCAGAGAGTCCTCTTGTCCTTTCTTCACAACATTCATGATATTTGTCTCATCAGTGAATTTTATGTATGGTTCCTTATCATTGATTGTCAGTGATCCACATTTATTCCCATCCTTGATTGTAATTCGACAATCAATGGAGTCAGTGAGAATAGCAGCTGTGTCAAACGGGGTTGGTTTCTTGCTTATCATCTTGGAAAGTTTGTGTAGAATCGTTGGTTATACCTATGGCAACCGTTCCTCTAATACACAATAATTAGGATCATCATCCAAAGCTGAACCACCTGAAGTTGGCTCAGAAACCGACCCCACATCAGTCCTCGAAGTGAGCCAAGATGGGGTAAGTGAAAAAGCTGAAGTTGCCTCAGAAACCGATCCCACATCAGTCCTCGAAGTGAGCCAAGATGGGGTAAGTGAAAAAGCTGAAGTTGGCTCACTTCCGATTTTCTCGGAGACAGCAAGTTGACTCACTTTTCTGGAACTGGGTTGAGCCAACATGGGATCAGTGGTTGGAGTTGTAAAATTAGGACTTGGAGGTGTACAATTAGTACTTGGATATGTAATATTAGTACTTGGGTGTCTATCCTTTAGTATAGTAGTATAGGGGGAGGGGGAGACTTTCAAGAGCGGCCCCGAAGGGCCGATCGAGAAAGTCGATTTTGGCTCACCTGGAAGGTGAGCCAGAACCCCCTCCTCCTATACTACTTAGGGTTAGGGTTAGGGTTAATGTTTTTCATCGTTTTTGGATCGTTCTCGCCAGCATTGGTTCAAGATTAGGCTTAGAATTGCAATTAGCTGAATCCTTCCTAATAGCCTTTGGTCTAGGGCTAGGTCTAGAGTTAGGGTTAGGGTTAGGGTTAGGGTTAGGGTTAGGGTTAATGTTTTTGATCCATTCCGCCAGCATTGGTTCAGGATTAGGCTTAGTATTGCAATTAGCTGTACCCCTTGCTAATAGCCTTTAGTTTAGGGCTAGGGCTAGAGTTAGGGCTAGGGTTAGGGTTAGGGTTAGGGTTAGGGTTAGGGTTAGGGTTAGGGTTACGGTTAGGGTTAGGGTTAGGGGTAATGTTTTTTTGTCGTTTTTTTACTCGTCTTCAACAGCATTAGTTCAAGGCCAGGCTTAGAATTGCAAATATATGAAAGCTTGGGTATTAGATTTGGTTCAGCGCTAGGGTCAGTGTTTGAGTTAGGGTTAGGGTTAGGGTTAGGGTTAGGGTTAGGGTTAGCGTTAGCGTTCGGTTTTGTGTTTGCACCTGCATTCGCATTGCCTGTGGCTTAGAATTGCAATACGCCGGATGCCTTGGTATTATATTTTGCTTTAGGATTAGGGTTAGGGTTAGGGTTAGGGGTAGGGTTAGGGTTAGGGTAAGGGTTAGGGTTTATGTTTTTATCGTGTTTTGATCGTTTTCGCCAGCATTGGTTCTGGATTAGGCTTAGAATTGCAATTAGCTGTGCCCCTTCCTAATAGCCTTTGGTTTAGGGCTAGGTCTAGAGTTAGGGTTAGGGTTAGGGTTAGGGTTAGGGTTAATGTTTTTTGCCGTTTTTTTACTCGTTTTCAACAGCATCAGTTCAAGGCCACGCTTAGAATTGCAAACAAATGTAAGCTTGGGTATTAGATTTGGTTTAGGGCTAGGGCTAGAGTTAGGGTTAGGGTTAGGGTTAGGGTTAGGGTTAGGGTTAATGTTTTTTGTCGTTTTTCACTCGGTTTCAACAGCATTAGTTCAAGGCCAGGCTTAGAATTGCAAATAAATGTAAGCTTGGGTATTAGATTTGGTTCAGCGCTAGGGTCAGTGTTTGGGTTAGGGTTAGGGTTAGGGTTAGGGTTAGGGTTAGGGTTAGGGTTAGGGTTAGCGTTCGGTTTTGCGTTTGCACCTGCATTCGCATTGCCTGTGGCTTAGAATTGCAATTAGCTGGTTGCCTTGTTATTATATTTTGCTTTAGGATTAGGGTTAGGGTTAGGGTTAGGGTTAGGGTTAGGGTTAATGTTTTTGATCGTTTTCGGCAGCATTGGTTCAGGATTAGGCTTAGAATTGCAATTAGCTGTACCCCTTGCTAATAGCCTTTAGTTTAGGGCTAGGGCTAGAGTTAGGGCTAGGGTTAGGGTTAGGGTTAGGGTTAGGGTTAATGTTTTTTTGTCGTTTATTACTCGTTTTCAACAGCATTAGTTCAAGGCCAGGCTTAGAATTGCAAATAAATGTAAGCTTGGTTATTAGATTTGGTTTAGGGCTAGGGCTAGAGTCAGGGTTAGGGTTAGGGTTAGGGTTAGAGGTAGGGTTAGGGTTAGGATTAGGGTTAGGGTTAGGGTTAGGGTTAGGGTTAATGTTTTTTTGTTGGTTTTTTTACTCGTTTCCAACAGCATAAGTTCAAGGCCAGGCTTAGAAATTCAAATAAATGGAAGCTTAAGGTATTAGATTTGTTTCAGGGGTAGGGTCATGGAAAACATGGATGCAGTGAATGGGACTTTCGGTCTTTGACCACTTGCTGGTGAGCTGATCTACTCACCTCCCACCGCTTTAGGAGCTGCATCTGCGCCTTGATCCTTGAAGGGTGGTGGCGTTCCTACGGATGCGGAAAACCCGGCTTCCAGCCGAGTCTCACGCGAACCGTTAATTTATTTTTATTTTTAGGGTCAGTATTTGGGTTAGGGTTAGGGTTAGTGTTAGTGTTAGGTTTAGGGTTAGCGTTTAATTTTGCGTTTGCACCAGCATTCGCATTGCCTGTGTCTTAGAATTGCAATTAGCTGTATGGCTTGGTATTATATTTTGGTTTAGGATTAGGGTTAGGGTTGGGGTTAGGGTTAGGGCTAGGGTTAATGTTTTTTATCGTTTTTTGATCGTTTTCGCCAGCGTTGGTTCAGGATTAGGCTTAGAATTGCAATTAGCTGTACCCCTTGCTAATAGCCTTTGGGTTAGGGCCAGGGCTAGAGTTAGGGCTAGGGTTAGGGTTAGGGTTAGGGTTAGGGTTAGGGTTAGTGTTTGGTTTTGCGTTTATACCAGCATTCGCATTGCCTGTTTCTTAGAATTGCAAGTAGGTGTATGCCTTGGTATTAGATTTTGGTTTAGGATTAGGGTTAGGGTTGGGGTTAGGGTTAGGGTTAGGGTTAGAGTTAATGTTTTTTATCGTTTTTTGATCGTTTTCGCCAGCATTGGTTCAGGATTAGGCTTAGAATTGCAATTAGCTGTACCCCTTCCTAATAGCCTTTGGTTAGGGCTAGGTCTAGAGTTAGGGTTAGGGTTAGGGTTAGGGTTAGGGTTAGGGCTAATGTTTTTTGTCGTTTTTTTACTCGTCTTCAACAGCATTAGTTCAACGCCACCCTTAGAATTGCAAACAAATGTAAGCTTGGGTATTAGATTTGGTTTAGGGCTATAGCTAGAGTTAGGGTTAGGGTTAGGGTTAGGGTTAATGTTTTTTTGTCGTTTTTTTCTCGTTTTAAACAGCGTTAGTTCAAGGCCAGGCTTAGAATTGCAAATAAATGAAAGCTTTCGTATTAGATTTGGTTCAGCGCTAGAGTCAGTGTTTGGGTTAGGGTTAGGGTTAGGGTTAGGGTTAGGGTTAGGGTTAGGGTTAGGGTTAGGGTTAGCGTTCGGTTTTGCGTTTGCACCTGCATTCGCATTGCCTGTAGCTTAGAATTGCAATAAGCTGGATGCCTTGGTATTATATTTTGCTTTAGGATTAGGGTTTGGTTAGGGTTAGGGTTAGGGTTAGGGTTAGGGTTAGGGTTAATGTTTTTGATCTATTTCGCCAGCATTGGTTCAGGATTAGGCTTAGTATTGCAATTAGCTGTACCCCTTGCTAATAGCCTTTAGTTTAGGGCTAGGGCTAGAGTTAGGGCTAGGGTTAGGGTTAGGGTTAGGGTTAGGGTTAGGGTTAGGGTTAGGGTTAGGGTTAGGGTTAGGGTTAGGGTTAGGGTTAGGGTTAGGGTTAGGGTTAGGGTTAGGGTTAGGGTTAGGGTTGGGGTTAGGGTTGGGGTTAGCGTTTAGTTTTGCGTTGGCACCAGCTTCGCATTGCCTGTTTCTTAGAATTGCAATAAGCTGTATGGCATGATATTATATTTTGGTTTAGGATTAGGGTTAGGGTTGGAGTTAAGGTTAGGGCTAGGGTTAATGTTTTTGATCGTTTTTTGATCGTTTTCGCCAGCATTGGTTCAGGATTAGGCTTAGAATTGCAATTAGCTGTACCCCTTGCTAATAGCCTTTGGGTTAGGGCTAGGGCTAGAGTTAGGGCTAGGGTTAGGGTTAGGGTTAGGGTTAGGGTTAGGGTTAGGGTTAGGGTTAGGGTTAGGGTAAGGGTTAGCCTGTTTCTTAGAATTGCAATTAGCTGTATAGCTTGATATTATATTTTGGTTTAGGATTAGGGTTAGGGTTGGGGTTAGGGTTAGGGCTAGGGTTAATGTTTTTTATCGTTTTTTGATCGTTTTCGCCAGCATTGGTTCAGGATTAGGCTTAGAATTGCAATTAACTGTACCCCTTCCTAATAGCCTTTGGTTTAGGGCTAGGTCTAGAATTAGGGTTAGGGTTAGGGTTAGGGTTAGGGTTAATGTTTTTGATCGTTTTCGCCAGCGTTGGTTCAGGATTAGGCTTAGAATTTCAATTAGCTGTACCCCTTGCTAATAACCTTTAGTTTAGGGCTAGGGCTAGAGTTAGGGCTAGGGTTAGGGTTAGGGTTAGGGTTAGGGTTAGGGTTAGGGTTAGGGTTAGGGTAAGGGTTAGGGTTAATGTTTTTTGTCGTTTTTCACTCGTTTTCAACAGCATCAGTTCAAGGCCAGGCTTAGAATTGCAAATAAATGTAAGCTTGGGTATTAGATTTGGTTCAGCGCTAGGGTCAGTGTTTGGGTT